GGTAGGAGGAGGAGAGAGAGAGAGAGAGAGAGAGAGAGAGAGGTGTTGGCTCACAATAAATTGAAGACATCTTTATCTCGAACAGGGTAGCAGATTGGGCATAACAACTGTAATATCCACTGACTCAATCCGGCACATGATGAGGAGCTTTGTTGATGAAAAAGAAAACCCATTACTTTGGGCTTCTACATATCATGCTGGTGAATGCTTGGATCCAATGGCAGTTGCCAAAGCCAAGGCAAAACGGAAAGCTAAGAAAATGGCAGGTGTTTCTCCATCATTGTCCAAGGAAGAAATATCAGATGGATCTGCAAACAAGAAGTCTGAATCCAAGTCCACTGATACAGCTGGTGGTATTGAGCCAATAGGCCCAAAACAAATGGCCATTGAGGGTTTTAAAGCACAAAGTGAGATGGTAATTGATAGTCTTGATCGACTGATTACAGCCTGGGAAGAGCGGAATGAATCTGTGGTTGTCGAGGGTGTTCATCTGAGCTTAAATTTTGTGGTAAGTTTTCAAATAAAGCTCACTCTTGTAATTTTATTCGATTAATTACTCATCACTTGTGAATTTTTCTTTTGTGTGTGTGTGTGAGAGAGAGAGAGAGAGAGAGAGATACTAGAGGCGGAGAGAAAGAGAGAGGGGGAGAGAGAGATTTGCATCAACACAATCAATATAGCAAGAGCTGACATAAATGCAAACACACACACACAAAACAGAAGTATTGAATTCTATCTCACTGAATTGTGTGTGTGCGTGTGTGTGTGTGAGAGAGAGAGAGAGAGAGAGATAGAGATCTTTTGTGTTCAAGAAACAATAACTTCTTGTCTATCAGGAGCATATTCACTAACAGAAACCAATGTAAATTTTCCTTCTTGTAGAAAATTGTCTTTCCCATTCAAAAAACTAGAACTTCTTTTCTATCAGGAGCATATTCACACATTCATTATTTCCCTTGTTTATGTAGATGGGTCTCATGAGGAAGCATCCCTCTATTATCCCATTCATGATATACATCACAAACGAAGAGAAACACATGGAAAGATTTGCTGTGCGTGCAAAGTACATGACCCTTGACCCTGCAAAAAACAAATACGTAAAGTACATCAGAAATATACGAACAATCCAAGATTACCTTTGCAATAGAGCTGACAAGCACCTTGTCCCTAAAATTAACAACACCAATGTCGACAAAAGTGTAGCCGCCATTCATGCTACAGTCTTCAGCTGTTTGCGAAGGCGAGAGGCAGGGGAACAACTTTATGACCCAATCACCAACACAGTTTCCTTAATTCACGAGGAGTACAGGAACAAATGTGCTGCTAATTCTCTAAGCTCAAAGGGGATGTTTCAGTTGATTCAAAGAAAGGGATCAAGTCGACATTTGATGGCACTTTTGAACACTGATGGGTCAGTTGCTAAGGCTTGGCCTGTGGAATCGGGAGATGAGAAGGGGAATGGAAGTGAGAAGGGGGTTGGGAACCCTATGTATGGGCCTTTGTTGATAGGGAAGGCAGAGCCTGTGAATTTGCAGTTTGGGAACTTTGGGATCAGTGCATGGCCTAATGATACGGGGGGTACGAGCCATGTGGGAAGTGTTGATGAGTCGAGGGGTGACGGCACGGAGACTGGGAGCAGGTATTATTCGTCGTGTTGCAGCTCTCCAAGGTTCTCCGATGGACCTGCCAAAGAGGTTCTCTCTCTCTCTGTCTCTCTTTGTGGTTATAAAGGGTTTTTATACAGTCATGGGGCACCTGTCTTCTCTCATCTTGGAGATGGCATCATCATCTCTCTCTCTCTCTCTCTCTCTCTCTCTCTCTCTCTCTCTCTCTTATTGCTGTTATCTCAGCTTTCCAAAATTGATGAGCAATCCTGTCTTGAAACACACAGCATTCTGGTTTAAACTAGTGTTTTACATTTGGAAGAATCAGATACAAATAGTTGTGAGATGCCTCTGGTTTTCTCTTTGCAGCTCAAGGAGGAGATAACAGTTTCTGGTAGTGAGGAAGAAGCTGATGAAGCTGCAGATGCTTATACCGATGAAGACTTGAGTGATGTGGATGACAAGGAAATGCATGAGGAGGTATTTTTCACATATCAAAACCTCAAGCATTGTCCATGTTGCATTTTGTATTGCATTTATAGCTTCATTTTGAGCACCAACATTAAATAAAACTGAAGAGTTTCTTGGAGTCTCATGTTTGTTGAGGAGAAACTATTCTGCCCATTTACTAATCTGACTACATAGTATTTGGGGCATGCTGGTGCATGATTAAGAATAATATGTCCCATATGATTATAATAACAACATGAGTTCCTGACCATGATGGACGGGAGGGTACCCCCTCTTCATCACTCGCCAAGAGTAGAGGCGCTAAAAACAGTTGGTCGTTGTTGTTATTAGAATCACACAAATCGTAGCATTTTTTTTCCTCAGCGTTATTGTAGTATCAAGGATTTTTGGGAGAGAATGCACTCTTTGTACTGAAGCCTTTTTCAACCATTTCAATCTGTGTTCAGATGGAGGGTTCAGTTGATGAACAATCAACAAAGTCGGATGAGGAGTACGATGATCTCGCCATTCACGAGGGGCAGGAAAACGAGTTTTGGTCAGAGAAAGCAGATTCAAATGGCAATTGCAACCTCGAAAATGAGACAAAGGAGGGCTCTAATGGAGATGATGAATTGGTGGATAAATACACACAAAATTTGGAGTATTTTTTGAGGACAAGCGAACCTTTGACAGAGCCCTCATGTTGTTACTCTTCGTTGTTGAGCGAACAGAACACACGAAGCATGCCCGCTGAGGTGAAAGTATCTGAAAATGGATCACCCATTATTACTCCACGGATACATAGCAGATCCTTGAGCATACCGGCTTTTGGTAAATACGGATCAGTTCACAATGGATTGATCCTGTCTGGAGCCCCTCAAAGGTAGCATTTGGGTTCTCTCTTTCTCTGTGCTTTGTTGGGCTGTACGAGGAGGGGAGTAAAGTTAGGGTTTTGAGGAGTAGTTTGTGGTGATGATGATGCTGATGGTTATGGTTGTGGTTGGAATTTATCTTTGTCTCTAATGGAAAGAGAAATGGGTTGGGTTTTCTTAGCTCCTTGAAGGGTTGTTGATTCTCTGAATCAGTTAACTAATGAATTGAGTATGCGTTGGTTCTAAGCGACGATGTTGATCACAACAACTAATGAATTGAGGTGCGCATTCGCATATAAGTTTGACTAAACACCTTGATCACTATGGTCTACAAGTGCAATGTACCATGCCGCTCTGTCAATTCAGCTAAAAAAAACGAGAAACAAATCATAACCACCTTGTGCCAAGACTAAAAGATTGATAAAGAAAGGCCCTAACCTGGATCTATGTTATTACGAGATGACCTAGCAAGGTTACATTCAAATAAACCTTAATACAAAGAAAGCTGAGAAAAATAACAGGTCTTACTGGTTTGAACTTCATGTAGACCCTCATTTTGGCTAATTGGATTGTTAGGTGACAAGCCCTAAACCTAGACTTTAGACCTAGTACATATTTTACTTTAAGTCATACTAGGACCTGTTTGTGTATCCGGAGATGCATAGGCTAGAGCGGTGCGTCTCTTGGAAGATATATTTTTTAGCAAATAATTTCTTTTAAAGGAAGATGCTATGGTACGCCAATAGGTGTATCGGTAGGAAAACGTCCATCGGGCCAGATTCATTTTGAGAGTCTTTTTGTCAATTTATTTTTTTTCAAATTATTTTTCGGATATTTTTATTAAGTGCATCTTGATGAGAAGAACACATACTTAATATTTCAAGTAATTTGGATTTGTAGAAAAATAAATAAAATTCAAATACGAAATGAGGTCATGACCATCAGATAAAGGCCAAATTCAATTTGAGGCCGTTGGACGTTTATTGTAGCAGTACGTGCATAGGCGTACAAGATCGTTCTTTTTTCTTAAAAGATGGGTAAATTCTTTTTGGTTGTAGTATCTAGATGCAATTGGAAGATTCATTTTGACTGTTTGGCTCAATTAAAAGATAAATTTCCTAAAATGCTTTTAGAATTTTGTAATTGTCAACAAATTTTAGTGGTAACTTCTTACTTTCGGGAATGGGGTCCGGCATCGGTAGTTGGGGGTAGGTGCCTCAACGTAATGTCCCAGACTCCTTTTCCCAGACTCCTTTGCCACCACTAACACTTCCAAACCATCGGTAAGAAAACAAATTGTAAAATTCAAAGGACAGCTACGTAAATGCATTTATTCTCAAATATTTATGAACATTGAACGCATAGCTCAATAATTGAACTTTGTAAATGTTTATGACGCCCAACAATTCTATGATGGAAATGATGTATATTCAAAGTTTCAAACCACCTATAATAATGAAGTAAAAGAAGAAGATGACCTTAAAATAAAGGGTGATAGAATAGTGTAAGTTCAACAGTCCAGATTGAATTTAGGCCGATTCGATGATTAGAACAACATTTTGTATTTAAATTTAAATATTTTTTTATATATCTAAATAATATGAAATTTAGAGCGTCTACTCTTCTCATTAAGGTTACCTAATAAAATATTAAAAAATAATTAACAAAAAAATTGACCAAAATACCTTTAAAAATTTTAGAAGCATTTTAGTCAATATAGGGACAATTACATATATATCCATTATATTTGTCATTATTACAAAAATATTGTTTTGTTTATGTAATTATAGATGTATCCGTTTTTTGAACTTTGTAATACTTTTAAAAGAAAAGTGAAAAAAAAAGATCAAACTGCCTATTTTCTCTTGTTCTAAACTTAAAATGTTGAGAATAGCCCACTAGTTCATATGAACATGTGTTCATATGAGCCCAACGGCTCAATTTGAATCTGGACCGATCTGACGGTCACGACCTCGTTTCGTGTTTGAATTTTAATTTTTTTTACAAATCCAAATAACTTGAAATTTTAAACGTATATTTTTTAAAAATATTAAAATTTAATAAAAATATAAAAAATAAATTTTTCTATAAATTTGAATATTCAGATTCTATTTTGTCAAACGGACCTAAAGCAAAGCACTTTGCAAGTACACAAGCATCAAGTGGATAGATCGATACTAACAAGCAACCCTTGCCAAAGATACACATAGAGCTAATGCTATTTTTGAATTATTAAACCCCATCCCTTCCATATTATCAAAATCTCTCTCTCTCTCTCTCTCTCTCTCTCTCTCTCTCTCTCTCTCTCCTCCATTCGAGGTGTTTTATAACCCACTGCGCTTCTCACCCAAAACCCTGCTTTGCCATCCCTCTTGGTCTGTCATCCATTACTAAACTCTCTCTCACTCACTCACTCCCACTCGGCTGTCTCTTCTCTGAAACCTCTTAGTATACATTCACTCACCTTGGAGAACAATAATATATTAAGAGACCAAAACATCAGTAATAAAATGTGTTTTGCTCCAAAATGTCGAAGGCAAAAAATTGTGTCAAAATTATGGATAGCCAAAAATTAGATAAATCATGAATATTTTTTATTTAGCCAAAAATAATTTGGTGAAAAAATCGGATATGTAAAGATTAACTCAATGTAAGATTATGAATTGTAATTATTGTATGGATATATTAAAACCATTGGAGAATAATTTTATGCGCTTATCTGATATCCTTAGAGTGGTACTAATAATTTTTTGTCTAAACTTTCAATAAATACAACTACAATACTTACTTTGTTGTCAACAAGCAAAACATATAATAGATTTATTGGTAGCATACACAAAAACAGCAATGCATAAGAACAACATTAGCAAAGAACTAGAAAACATATAATAGATTTATTGGAAGCATACACAAAAACAGCAATACATGAGAACAACATTACCAAACAACTAGAATGTAACCCAAGGTATGGAATTATTGTTTGAAGAAACAAAAAGAACTACAGCAAACAAAAAAAAAAAAAACCAAAAATGTAAAATACTGGTCCATCAAAAATGTTATATTGTATACACACCAATGAAATAAAAATATATATAAAAAGATAAAATTAATCAAACTTTTGTGTGCAAAAAGAAAACAACAAAATGCTTAAAAAAATCCAAATATTCGAAGCTCACCGAGAATTCCTAACTGCCTAAATCATTAGTTGTCACTTAATCTCTCTCTTGCTCTTTATAATTACACTCAATATTTAGAGAATAAAAAGATTTTTTACTGGGTCTCATTCCGACCATTATTTTGAAATGGACGCAATTTCTGTAATGCTTAGGTTTTATGAAAACAATACAAAGTCTCCCATAGAATCCTCATCCAAAGGCACTTTGAGAAATGAAAATCTCCATGATGGCTCTAAAATCAATTTCTAACGCAGATTATGAAATTTGAAGCTAAAAAAATAAATAGGTCTTGCGGATCCATGACCATTTATTTTAAGGTGAAATGGACGGTCTAAACAATGTGTTGTAATGCACACAATTACACTATTTTTAGGGTAGGAAATCTTAATTTTTTTTCACAACCATAATGGTCAAGGCTGAGATGATCATTTTGTAGTTTTTCCGATGCCAAAAGTACACTTTTTGGTGAGCTTTGGGGCTAGGCTCTACTTATTTTGATGGGGCTGCAGCCCCATCAAAACATTTTCCTGTTGAGATATTTGATTTTTTTTATTTGATAATTTTTAGGGAATATATTGCACTTTTTTTTAGGGAACATATTGGCAAAAATATCTGATAGAAATTTTTGTTAAATCAAGATCCTTTATTTACTTCCCCACTTGTAATGTGTTTATCTCTAAACTAAATTGAAAGATATTAAATCAATGAAGAGATAAAGTTCAATGGTAAATGTTTTTTTTTTTTTTTTTTGTGAAGAACGGTAAAATAATAAAATTATATTGGTTCCATTAAAAAATAAAATTTGAAAATCCTGGAAAAATTGTAGTTCTTAACCAATTTCAAAAACATCATACTGAAAAAAATAATGTTTTAATCGGAAATTCGCTGACTTTCTGATAGGTCATAACATGAAGGTGGTTTTGAAAAAGGATAGGACAATGCCAGTACTTCGTAAGCTAATGGTTTTAAATTCAGTTTGGGTTAAATACTGACAGGCTAAAACACCTCCAAACCTGCTAGAAGTAATATGCCAAGGATCATCCATTTATGGGAAGAGTATGATATGCATTGAGGGACGCATTCCTGTATTTGCATCCCCCTAAGCAAAAACCATCCATCTTTGGTATGATAGTCCCTATAAAAAAAAACTTGAAATCAGCGGTCCAAACAATTTTATTATCCAAATAATTTTATTAAAAAACTTAAAACATTTTTAATTTTTAAAATTTATTAATTTTACACATTAATGATTGTCGTGTTAGAGATTATATATTCCTTAAAAATTAGGACCAAAATCCATTTTAAAAATAGATTATTAAGAGGGGCCCCATTTCTACATTAGAGGCCATGGATTCATAGAAACCGTCCCATAAAATATGTTGGCAATCTCAATAATCATTTTCAGTGGTTTCTCCTTCAGATAATAAGAAAGATAAACATACCGAAAACAAGCAGCATAACCTCTTCACTCTTCAAAACATGTATCCTCCAATATCCTTGTATTATTAGTAAGGATTTCAGAGTGAAACCCCTTATTTATGAAGAAAACATCTTCCACCAAACGTTCTTATACATTACCCTACACTCCTTTTTCTCTTTACAGACAGTACACTCGTGTACATGCATCTCAAGGTTATGAAAAAAAACGTCTTGAGCCACAATGCCTCATTTCCCCTAAACCCTAACTAAGCTCACCCTCTTTGATGTGTCGTCGTCGTCAAATTAGACTACAGAATATACAAATAAGTGAAACAACAGTACATATGCTGACATACACATTTATTTAGTTGATCGGCCCCTATCATATACACCATCTGCCATACCAATCTCTCTCTCTCTCTCTCTCTCTCTCTCTCTCTACTTTGGACTGGAAAAACATACTCCGGCTGGCAAATACTTCACCAGTCTTGTTAGCTGTACATGGTCTGCACTCTCAAAACCTTCAGGACATATACGTAGGTGGAACCCCGATGCGCCTCTCTGGTAGCAAATCAATTGGAGAATGGATTACTAAAAATGAAAAGAAAAGAAAACTAGATTTTGTTATTTTCCTTTGATTCTTTGGGTCTAGATATTGAATCCTGTGTTTATCTAATGAACAACAATTAAATATATTTTAGGGCAAGAATGAATATAAATAACTATAAAATGACATAAGAAAATGGAATGTGGAGGGCATCCTTCTTACCTCCAGCTGCAACAAGCTTCTCGACACGAGCCACGATGTGCTTGCCGTAAGTATATCTCTTCAAGGCATTCAAGTGGACCTTGATTCGTGAAAGAATGAGCTCACGATGATGATCGTCGCAGGTCTCAAGAACCTTCTGCACGACATAGTTAGCGAACTGGTCCTTCATCATGGCCTGTTACAAAAGTAGTTTTTTCTTTTTGGATTAGCATCATGCAACCGCTCAAGATATGGATAAAGAAAACCACCTACTTTTTATTTGTTTCCTAAGTATAGTCTTAAGCAATTCATTCTACTTCATGTAGTACATATAGTAACAATCTAGCTATTTTAAGAATCTAGCATCATGTTTTATCTCACAAATCACAGGCCATGGCTGAAGAGGCTTAAATGAGTCGATCAAATAAAGCCACTTCATTCATTATAAATGAAGATGAAAGAAATAAAGTGAAAAAAGCTTTGAATTGTATGAAACCATTCTAGCCAATGAGCATAATGTGTCTCTTCTTCCCAGGTTGAATTGAGTAAGAAAATTCTCTAGTTGAACACACAATTTTTATCTAAAGAGCATGGAAATTCCAGGAATTGAAAAAATTTCCAAGTTTTTTTAATGTTTATAACAAGTGTTCACATATTATGTCCCCCTTACTTTGGTTTAATGATGCAAAACACCTGCTTTTTGAGAAAGAATTGACATTTAATTCCCCACATGCAGTCACGCAGACCAACATCAGTTAAAAGGCAGACATGATGAAGGCTTCTGACCGAATGGATCGGAGTTTTCTTAATCACAGAAATGGGTTTCCTTGTTCTGTAAAGAGATGATGGCATGTATGTCTATAACTTCTACAGCATGGCATATGCATCCACCGAAGGTTCATAGAGAACTTCTAGAGGACTGAGATAAGCAAGACCCGCTCGCTAACTTTTTCTACCATCATCTAAAGCCCACTCAGTTGTCTTATTAATAGGCTGGGCTACTTGAGAGTTTTAAAGGCAGAACCAGGAGGACGCATCTCTAGTCCCACTCTCGGTTTTGTAATGCTTCTAATATTCAGACCGGTAATTACGCATGGTTCTAGGTGATATGGGCTTAGTATCAGCAAAGAATAACCATCAGCCTTGGGGATCAAGGTAGAGGGAGTCAGATGGAGGAGGTGGTTAGAGGGTACAATTTGAGAGGTATTTTGCTTAACATCAACCAAGTTATCCAAATTTGTGTGGGTAAGCCTAAGGCCTTTGGGACCCAGATGTGGGTAAACCTAACCTGAGAAGCATGGTAGCGTACAGATAGAAGAATTAAGGAGCTGGACAGGCCACCCCTATGTGGCAATCAAGATCTGCTGAGGAGATGGTACAATGCTTCAGATGAGGTTAAGAGGGCAATTATGGATGGACGGCTGGTAGTTGTGGGTGAAGAAGGTGGTTAGCTTGTATGCAGTTTCTACCACTTCTTGTCAAATGAATTGGGCTGCCCAGGAGTTCACTAAGAGGACTGCATAAAAAGCATAGAATGATCAAATATTCAAGTGACGCGATAACTCTTAGAATGGAGCTGGGCACCGAAGGTACGATTTCCACAACTGGTTAGAGTAAACGGACAAATCTAGATGACAGTTGTCTCAAGTGGCGGAGTATGGAGTAAATTAGAGTCCTTTCTAAAGGAATCTCAGGGATGAGGACATACTTGAGTTGAATGGATTGTTAAGTAGCTTAAAAGAGGTATTAATCTCGAAGTTGAGGTTGATAGAATGACCTTGAGGTGGAGTAGCTATCAATGAGTAATTATTTTACACTTTGCAACACAGAAATGTCAAATGTCGCGAGGAAGTCCAGTAAAGGATGTCCTCCCTCCTCCAAGATAATTGCCTTTGGCTAGATACCTATAACCGATCAGAAATAAGAAGGGGTGATCGTCAGCATTGTGGTTTCCAAATTTTGAAGTAATGTTAACACATGTGAAGACGCCTACATGGACCAATGATCATCAGGGTAACAATGTTTGCAGTAGCAAGGGGCAGATTTTTTCTAGATCCACCACTTGTACTTTGGTCAGTGTTTGCAGTAGTGGGGCAGATTTTTTCTAGATCCACCACGCATCATGTGGTCGCATTGAAGCCATGTGGCCATAGGCCTGCCTAGGTGGCCATGATGGGCTCTCCTACGTGGCTTATTGTCAGCCTATGCCAACTGCATAGGGTGACCCTGCTCATGGGCAGAAAAACAGAAAAACAGCCCATGAGCAGCGATATTTTGGTATTCCAACCCATCCCAAACCCCCCCCCCCCCCCCCCCCCTCCCTCCCGCCCCTCCTTCCCCACCCAAAAAAAAAGAAGAAGAAGAAAACGAGAGAAAAGGTTTGGGGGAGAGGATATGTAAGACCCCATGACGCCTTAAAACCTTCTTTTTCCAACTCTAAGGGGAGGGGATCAAATCTAACTACTTGACAAATTAAATTTTATGTTTTTCATATTTATGTCATTGTGTTTCGGTCCCAAATTGAAGTACTTGCCAATTACTTAGTATTTGGCCATATGCTAGAGTCACTACTTTCTAATTTAGTAAAAGACTATTTGGCTGTATGCTAAAGTTGCTAATTATTATTTTCTTTGATAGTATCATAGAAGCATACTTTCTTAAGTGATTGGTAATTGATTTTGGAGAAAGTTCACATAAAGTTGCAACGTTATTTGTAGAAACAAGGTCGCAATCATTTACATCATCAATTTTATTTAGGTAGTGTAGATTTGTCACTATCTTAAAAGACGTGTCACATTTTAACATTGTCTTAAAAGACATGTCAAATCTACACCATCCAACTAAAATGAACAGTGTAAAACATTGCCACCTTACTTATGCAAGGAAAGTTGCCACCTCATATAAACTGTATCCATTGGCTTTTCTTATTTTCAATTTGATAAATGGATTGGACCATGTTATTTTATGTGTTAAATGAAATGATGTAAATTGTGAACACCAAACAATAATGCTTGTATTTACTCTAAAAGCAATTGAGACAACATATATATCAGAGACAGATCATCGTCATCATCATAGCTTTTTTTCAATTACAGCTACACGAATCTTGGTCTACCATTCTGCTCTATTTAAAGCCATATCCTAAATGAGGCCATAAGCTCCCATATCTTTTTGGACTACTTCAAACCACATCCTTTTGGGCCTACCCCTTGTCTTTTTCAATCCTTCTACTTTGAGTAACTTGCACCTCCTAACAGGTGATGCACTGGGTCGACACCACACATGGTCAGCCCACCTAAGTCTACTCTCTCTCATCTTATCGTCTATTGGTGTCATACCTAAACTTTCCCAAGGGGTAATGACCTTAAAGTTTCCCCTTAACTTATCCTATGCCCGGGTAAAGGAGTTGGGTTGTGTTAGGTAGGCAGTCAACGTAAAATTTTGCCAAAACTCATCATATCGGAGACAGATCATCATCATCATCATAGCCTTTTCCCAATTAATTGGAATCAGCTACATGAATCCTGATCCGCCATTCTGCTCTATTAAAGGTCATACCTCAATGAGGCTATAAGTCCCTATGTCTTTTCGGACTACTTCTAACCACGTCCGTTTAGGCCTACCCCTTGCTCTTTTCAGTCCTTCTACTTAAACTAACTCGCAACTCCTAACATGTGTTGTACCTCGTCGGTGCCACACATGGCCAGCCCACCTAAGTCTACTCTCTCTTATCTTATCGCCTATTGGTGCCATACCAAAATTCTCCTGAATAAATTCATTTCGAATTCTATCCCTTCTTGTCTTGCACTCATCGGTCTCAACACCCTCATCTCCGCTACACTCATTCTATGGGTATATTGTTTTCGTCTGCCCAACATTCAGTCCCATAGAGCAAAGCTAGTCTCACAGTTGTCCTATAGAACTTGCCCTTCGGCTCAATAGGTATGTGACGATCACATAAAATTCCAGCTGCACATCTCCACTTCGGCCACCCAATTCTAATTATGTGTGCGACATCTTCCTCAAGCTCTCCATTTTCCCAGATTATTGACCAATATCGAAAGGACGGTCTCTTTTGTACTTCCTGACAGTCAATCTTAACTACTTCCTCGTCTCTATTCCTATTATTACTAAACTTACTCTGTCTTAAACCAACTAATATAAAACCTTTGGATTCTATAGCGTTCCTCCAAAGTTCTAACTTTGTGCTGACGCCAATTCTGGTTTCATCGATCAAAACTATATCATCTGCGAACAACATGCACCACGGTACATATCAGAAACAAATATTCAACTAAAAATGCCGGACTATCAAATATATCATATAATTGTGCCATTTTTTGTTCTTAAAAATTTTATGATTTTTTTTTTATGTTTTGTATTTATCATCCACGTAGGAACTGATGTGCCTGTTTTATGACCACATAGAGCTTCCCAGCACATTGTAACCTCGTAGTGCCTGTCGCTGCATACCACATTTGATGGCCTTGCTCTAGTAGTGCTAGTGATGGTGCAATCTCTTTGGGCAGTTCTCTATTTGCTGCTTTCTTGAGATATATCATGACAAATCAAGGTAGAATCATCAAAGAAGTACTAGTAATGATGTACTTAAAAAAAAGAAGCAAGAGCTACATCACTTCATGACTGCTATCAAGAAACATACCCTGGTATTCAAGTGGAATTTCAGATCAGGAGTGCAGCTAGTGTAAGTTAGTGAATTTATGCAGTTCTTTTAGAAATAAAAGCCCTCATATGAAGTACCAGACAATTCAAGATACAACATTTCATCACTGCAATTTGTTTCTTTTGGTTCATGCTATAAAGCAATGAATACTCTAACAAGCCTATAAAGCAAAACCCATAAATCTATTTATAGAGTTATTCCATGTATAGATAAAGAAAAATATGCATATAGATCAAAAGATCCAGCTAAATTGAAGTCTCCACTTCCAACTATCTTTCACTAAACATGTATGGTGAAGTAGAATGGCAATCCCATGTACCGAAAGAAAAACGGAGTGATCTTCATTAATCATAACAACAGTGCACAATTCATACACCACAATATCCTCAAACTTATGATATAGGCACCACATTTCAGAGAAATGGTTAACCAGTTTGCCCTAAGAATGCAAGAAGCCGAAGAAATCGAGTGCTTTTGTTTGTTCAATTTTAGAGGTCCAAAGAGTTGGACAAACCTGCAGGGGTTCATTCTCATCTGTAGACCCAAGCATCTCATTAACCAAAAGCTGACGCTCTGCAGGGCCACCAAACACTAAACATTTCTCAACCACATTTGAAGCGAACTTTTGTTGACTCATCTGAACTATTTGTCCTGCTAGTTTCTCAATGATTGCAGAACGCTCATGAGGTTTCCCATGCTCTAGCACATGCTGTAAAGAAAATTTATGAAAAAAATAGTAATTACCATATCAGGAAACAGCAAGATGTTGATTAAAAAATCAGGCATTCAGGAAACAACATGAACAATCAAAAAAGTCCGATGCCACAAAAAATACAGAAAGGTAGGAGGAAAAGAAAAGCACAAAGGGAAATCTGAACAAATTTTATCAAATAAAATAGCATTGATAGTTGTATGTGTACAATTCAAAAATAATGTCCCTACAGCATCAGTGCCAGAACCCAGAGGAGAGGAAGAGGGATGCAGGCGGTGGGGAATGGGGGTGTATGCTGTGATGTGCAGGTTATCAGCATAATGTACCAAAACTCTCAAGTTTGGCATATAAGCAGATTTTCAGTAAATATAACAAACCGTAGACAAAGGGTAGCTTATATATGAAAATCAAAATTCAAAGTCATCACGAAACCTCACTCCACGAGCCTGCACATGTCCAGCATGTCATCAACTTTTCTATTGGTTCACTGATTATCTTATAGCTTTAATGTTTTCTTTGAACAAAACTTAACTATTTTTTTCAACTTATCTGCATATTTCTTTTTTCTTGTAATCATTTTATGACCTATTATTCACCAACATAAAGGAGGCGAGTGCAAACTTCAAAACCATAGGGGAACAATTACTCATCTCCTGAAACCCCCCAGACATCCACTTGCCCCCTCGATAACTACTTCTCCCCTTTCTGCTCCCTCACTGGCAGCCCATGACCTTCCTAACCTGTCAGCCCCTCCACCTATCCTGCCCGCCCTAACACCCACCCAACCAGTGCTCGACTACGCCTCTGCCCTTAAGCCTTCTTGCGCTCCTCCCGCTCTTTCCCCAGCCTACATCCCCCAACCCTCATGCGTCCCTGGCTTCCTCCACCCTCCCCTCTATCAACTTTCCCTTACCTAGACAGTCCATTTCACCTTCATCTCCATCCAAGGCCAAACCACTTTCGGTTTTAGTGAAATCCTGAAATCCTCCTAGGTCGGATACTTCCACTCACACAGAGATGACCTCAGAGGTATAGAAATGTGGGCCCGTAACCTTTGGCAAGAACCAAACCTAATGTGTTATGCCATGGCAGGCAGAGGGATACTGTTCACGTTCCCGTTGGTTCGTAGCGCACAGAGAGCACTCCAGGGCTGCAGACCTTCTTTCAAACGGGCCCCCCTTAGCCTGACCACTTGGAACCACAGCCACGATGCTACACCCAGAAGAAAGATATGGTTGCAGGCCTTCAAAATTCATCTTCATCTCCATGCATGGCATCCTAACACCGTCAAGGCAATAAAAGAGAAGCTTGTAATTCCTTCATCTCAACCCATTGAAAATCGTCGGCGTTTCTACCTTTGGGAGCCATCCCGCTACTCATCAAATCCATTGAACTTCACCTATCCCTCCCTCTATTTGGTTGGAAGCAGAGGGCCATTTTTTCTAGGTGCACATCGCCTAGTTCAATGCCATAGCCCAAGCCATCCTCGGCCAATCTTTGGACCATCAACGTGATTGCACAGGACCACAGACCAAGGACCACGAAAAGGGCACGGCAGTAGACCAGGATGCCTAGACCACAGTGGTCTGCAAGAAAGATAACCATGGTCGCTTTCGAGCTGGCCGCAGAAATCACCGTCCTCACCACTCATCCGATAGCACAAATTAGGACCCCAAGTTCCCTCGAAATGTTGTCGATCGTCAATTGCACACTAGTCCCTCCATCCCCACCATCCAACCTTCCATCACAGCCCCATTCTCCACCCCTCCTCCCTCTGGGACATCCCGCCCACCCTAACCACATGACAAACCCTGACGCCTACCTTGCGTCCCCGCTAAGCATGTTCCCGCGTGTCAAGATTGCGTACTTTCCCCAAGCCACCTTACTGCCCTTGAGCCACCTTTTCAAGCCTAAGACGTCGACTACCCTCTCCAATCAAACAACAGTTAACGATCGCAGCCCCTGCACCTTTCTGGAACTAGATCTCAAGGCAGCTAAGGATCATTTCATTGACCCTCCCATTTACTTCCCTCCCCCTCTCTACTCCGCTATGCCGGAGAAAGCCGGTCCCTCTTCCTCTTCGTAAGTCCCAAGCCCCTCCTCTGTGCTAGTCTCTCCCTCTCATATCCCTGAAGCTACCACCATGAACTCTCACCAATCCAACAAGGTTGGCCTCTCCCTCATACCGACCCTACAGTCTCCCCTGACTCCCTCGATTCCCAAGAACCTTTCATCCCTATCATTCGTGCTCAGACGCTACCCGAAGAGATCCACCCTGTCTCACTGACTGCCGACCCATCCCTCCCTCCCTCCCTCAGCCCTGACTGGTGAACCCTCTTCATCGGGACCCCATCCCCACCCCTTCCTCCCCATCACCCACCAGCAAGCCCATCACACACTCTCCTCGGTACTTCCCTGACTATTGTGGATACCTCATCCTCCTCCCTTCCTATCCCACCCCCATCCTCGCTTCACCCTATCCTCTAACATCTCAAGCCTCTACCTCCCCCTTGCCTTCTGCCCTCTGGAACCCCTCTGTGGTGTCCAGCCTGCTCCCCTCTCACTTTACCTCTCCCCTTAACCCCCACCTCACTCCCACCTTCACAACCTGTGCCCCCATTTTCTATGCTCACTCATCCTTTCTTTCTCCCTAGTTTTCCCTAGCGTACCCAATTATTCACTTTCAGTCATTACCCTCATACCAGCCTATTCACCTCCCTCTCTAGTTTCGATCCCCTCTGAGTATCCCCCTCACTTATCACCCCATCTCCTAGCCCTTGAGCACCGCCCAGACTTCTTCAACCTCCCTCCTTTGGCATCCATCCTAGCCCTCTCTTCTTCACCCCTGCTCATATCTTCTTTTCCTTTCCCCGACTTCTCCCCTCTTCCCCCCATGAGGAACTCCTCCCCTGCTTCTACCCCCTCCATCACTTCTTCCTTGAGTAGGGTATCTCAACAAGGGCGGCACCTCAGTCATCCCCCCTCACTGACCCACACAGGCGGCACGACATCCTCAAACTATTCACATACCCTCTCCCTCAATCAATGGATTCCATTTTCGTGGAAGGGATGGACCAAACCCTGTGTGATATCAAGGAAGTTCTCAAGGTTATGGGATTCAAGAACAATGGTCCCAACAAGGACATTTAGGATTTTCTCTTGGCATCAGCCAAGAGACTTAAGCAGAAGCCTGCAAACCCTAGGGAGCTTGCAAATCTCCATTGTACCATTTCCTATGACAGAAGACGACTTTTCCCTCTTGTCGGAAGCTTCCCCCCTGGGACTTGTCAGACGTTCACTCAAAAACACCCCCTCTACCATCTTCTAATCCAATGAAGATTCTCATTTGGAATGTGAGGGGCCTTGCCCACAACCCCAAAAACAAAATTGTGCCAAAGACTACTACCTTCAGCTCTTTCCTTCGATGCTAGCCTTAATCGAGACCAAGCTCCCCACCCCACTCTCCCCCAAATTCGCCAAGTATGAGGATCAATACCCAATCAATGGGAGATGCTTGAGGCCCAAGGGGCCCCAGGGAGTATATGGGTCATTTGGAAACCCTCTCTCCACTCCCTCATCCAATCCACAGTGAAATCCTACTCTGTAACTCTTACCCTGTCGAGGATCTCCGACGGTTTTTGTTGGAAGTTCTCAGACATATATGGCCTTAACTTGGGTAATGTCTGGGACGCCTTATGGTCTGAATCAGACGACCTTGTGTTCTCTCCTCCTTCCCCCTCTTCATGGTGCCTCGGGGGAGATCTCAATATCACTAGGTGGTCTCATGAAAGAAACACAAGCTCTACAATCTAGCACGGCATACTGGAATTCTCGAACTTCATCTCTAGAAACGAACTCTTTGACATCCCTTTACTAGGGGCCAATTTCACCTGGTCGAACCACCCATCCTTGCCCAAATTGGACAAATTCCTCACAAATCTCATGTGGGACGAAGCCTTTCCAGGTTCCCATTCCCAGGCCCTCCTCCCCAAGACTACCTTGGAGCACAAGCCCATATTACTGGATACCCAAAGTGCGTCAGGCTTACACCCTTCAGATTTGAATTGGCCTGGCTCGAATAGCCAAATTTTCCCTCACTATTCTCTGCCTAGTGGACCTCTTTCTCCGCCTCTAGCCATGGTCGTGCAGGTTTCCACTTCCAACACAAGCTGCAGCTCCTCCAAGCTAAGCTTAAATCCTGGAGCCGTCAACTCCCAGGCAACTTTCAAGGACAGAAAACTTAGTTGCTTGACTCTATCTGAACCCTCGACCTTACCAAGGAGATCAAGCCTCTCTCGTCAGAAGAAAATCATCTTAGAACACAATCCAAGGTCGCTTACCAATCCATCCACCTCCACCGAAAGGAAGAAATATTTTGGTTCCAACACTCAAGAATCAGATAGCTCAAATGTGGAGACAGTAACACCACATTTATTCATAAATGGCAAACTGCCGTAGAAGGGACAATTCAATCTCCCTCGTCAAAGTTGGGGACCAAATCTTTGACAACCCTCCCTTCATCCCATTTGCTATTACGGAATTTTTCAGCTTCCCCACGGGCCTAGACCCATTATGGACAACTTGTCTTTCAACTCCATCCCCCCAGAAGCAGCAGCCCAGTTGGAATAGCCTTTCTTGGAGGAAGAAATCCTCTTGGCCATCAAATCTTTAGCCCAAGAGAGGACCCCGAGACCTGATAGGTTCCCAGTTGCACTCTTCAAGACCTTTTGGGATTTCTCAAACCTGATGTCTTAGCTTTTTCTAAAGAGCTCCATGAGAGGGGCATCATGGTATGAACGCCACATTTATTGCCTTGATTCCCAAGGTCGAGGGGGCTGAAGAACTCAAAGACTCTCGCCCCATTAGCCTTACCAATAGCTCCTATAGGATCCTCTCCAAGGTTCTTGCCACCTGACTCCGTGAAGTGTTGGGATGGTCATCTCTCAAAACCAAGGGGCCTTCGTGAAGGACCAACATATTCTCGATGGGGCCATCATTGGCCACGAGTGCATACACTCAAGACATTTATCCAAAATTCCAAGCCTCATCATAAAACTTGATTGGGAGAAGGCCTATGACCACGTCGATTGGGGCATCCCGACGAAACCCCCCATAGAATGGGCTTCGGGACCAAATGGAGGGCTTGGGTCCATGGCTGCATTTCCAGCCCGATGTTCTCGGTCTTAATCGATGGATCACGGCAGGCTATTTCAGCTCCTCTAGGGGACTAAGGCAGCGCGATCCCCTCTCTCCCTTCCTGTCATACAGGTAGGTAGACTGTATGACAGAGTATGGCTATCAAGGATCAAATCTAGCAACCAAGGGACAGTGGTGTCGTACCTCCAGTATGCCGATGACAGGCCTTTGTTCTGCAACTCTAATTCCCAACACACGCACACCCTCCTCCTCTTCCTCAAATTATTCAAGTAGGCGACTGATTTTTGAATTAATATGTCTAAGTCTAAGATGATGGGGGTCTGCACCAACGCTCAAAATGTCCAATATCTGGCCGAGAGGGGGTTGCCAGGTCAAAGACCTTCGTTGCCAGGTCGAAGAGCTTCCTTCCACGGACATGTGGCATTTTTTGCAATGTAGGGAGTGGCCAAGTGGTGGGATGTCATAGTCATGCTAATGTAACTTCACTTTGCTTTTTAAATACAACCGTCAATTCTTAAAAATAATAATAATAATAATAATAATAAGGACATCAAAGTATTGAAAATGGCTACTCCCAAGACTTCTGTAAGGTACCTTTTTGTAATTTTTCCGGGAATTTGATTCATCTTTGTTATTTTGTCAAGATGACTAACAATATTTGGTAGCTCTTGAAATAGTCAAACTTTCATACTCAAAAAGTGAAACCACTCAAAAAAACAAAAAGAAAGCGAAAAATAAAGGACCTCTGACTACCTCTAATTCAGTATCAGCTATGACATAAGGTGCATATCTGAAACTCAAGATACTTCTAAGCCAATCAGCATACAAGTGCATTTAACCAACAAAAAAATGACGCGGCTATCAACAAGCTGAACCATAGTCCCAACAAATGGAAATTGGAATAACAAAATAGCTGCCAATAAATTAATAAAATTTCTAAATGAATGTGCGACCTCAATCTCAGTTGCTGGAACAACAGAATTGATAAGCGTTTCTAATCCCAATAGAAAACATCGCAAAGAAAATCATCCATTTGCCCATTCAGACTCCAACTTTCACAGGCAATAGATGGTCATTACCAGGAAAGCATTTAATCAAGATATTTCTAAGCCAATCAGCCTACAAGGGCATTTAACCAATGAAAAAATGGCAAGGCTAGCAACACACTGAAGCAGGGGCTTAGCTGTGGAAAGCACTTTAAACCAAATAAATGTCCCTCATATCAAGCAAAACCATAATCCCAACCAATGGAAATTCGAATAACAAAATAGCTACCAATAAATTAAAAAAATTCTTAAATGCATCTGCAACCTCAATCTCAGTTGCAGGAACAACAGAATCGATAAGCGTTACCACTCCCGAACGTGAACCTCGCAAAAAAATCATCCATTTGGCCATTCAGCCTCCAACTTTCAAAGGCAATTGATAGTCACTACCAGGAACTATGACCAATTTATCATTTCCTATTTTGAGACACAAAGAAAACTAATTTTTTTATGCATGCACACATTTGCACCCAAAACTCCTCTCTTGGGCACATACCCCTCCCCCCCCCCCCCCTCCTTCTTTCTGTTTTCTTTTTTCTCCATCTTTCTCCTCTCTTGTGTCAAGCAAGAAAGAGACTTCAATATGACAGATCAATGATTCATGCAAATCTGATTTCCTCCCCACCTCTTGTCAACAAAAATCATGCCATACGATTTGATGATTAACTTACAAACCTGCACAACATAATTTCCATATTGATCTTGTGCCAAAGTGCACACAGATTGCAAGATTTCCTCCATCATGATTTGCTGCGTTTTTGCATCATTGCAGTGCTCCAGGACCCTCTGAAGCCATCACAGACAGGCCCTTCAGAATGCATCACGAAGATAATATATGATAAGACCAAATTAAAAAGTAAAGAATGTACACCTGAATGACCCGGCAGCCATAGGGATGAGTTGATAGTGCCACAACTTGACCATAAAATGCTGAAATAATGAATTGAATCCTTTCTTGGGGAACACACTCTATACACTTTTGAATAACATGGTTACCATTCTGATCCCGTACACATCGCATAACATGACCATCAAGCTCTAGAACCATTTGAGTCTGCTGCCCCACATCAACCACCTCGATTGCCTGAATGATCCAGTTCCAACTTAAGCTTCAGATATGATTGTTAAAAGGCAATGGAGGAAGAGAACTCGCCTTTAATTAGAAAAGAGTGATACCAAATATTACAAAGACATCAAAACATCAGAAAACCAAGTTTACCAAGCTGGTCTAATCAATTGTTCTTAAATGCTACAGCAGTAAGCTGCCCACCACCATCACTGCAAAACACTGGAGCCAGGGGTACCAGTTTTATTCTAGTCTAACCAATAAAAATACATTAAAGGGAGGCAAAGAGATCAAGACTGCCATATGAATATTCAGATAGTAAACTGTTTGCTTAAAGGCAATTAAGCAACACATCAAATAGACCCGCAGGTGACGTGGTGAAAGGAATGGGCCAATATGGTATTTAACATTTATCAGCATACATTACCAATGCAATATACAGATGACATAAATGTGCATCAACAAGCTGGCAGTGTGACAAGAAGAAGACTTCAAGAAGGAAATGTGTAAATTGCTACCCTATTGGCCCCTTCAACCATCAACTGTCTTTGAAACAAGCAAAGAGACCCTCAAGCATTAGGAATCCAGCTATAAAAGATACTTCAAAATAGCCTTAGCCAATATTCATAACCCAAAACTTTTAATATAGCAAATTAGCCAAAATATTTGAATCCCATTCTCGGCTAATAGGTTCCAGCTCCCACCAAACTGACTATGTTATGGACATTCTCTGGAATAAATTAAAGAAATATGTTCTCCATGAGACAAAAGAGGGCTTTCCATATTTTTCAAAAGGATAAGAGCAGCTATGTTACATTAATTAAGGAAGAAGCATATTTTATAAGAGAAATGAGCGTCGTATCCACAAAAATAACTCACTTCACCCAATTATGTGAACATAGTAATATCTATTGTATGATACATAGCACATACAGTATCACATTTTGTAACACATATTACAGATTATATTATCTGATACAACACATGTTTTATATTTATCTTCCACATATTTATTTTAAAGTGTACTGAAGAATATACAACAATTTATTTATTTTGTCAGTATAGAGCAATGTTAACAAATGCGGCTGCATACCGTATTATGCGGCAGCATCAAGGTGGAGCAGTCCATGGCTGCACCACATCGCCATGATGGGCGTACATGATCTGCCTGTCTAGGCAGCACATTGACCACATAGGCAGCTGCATTTTTCCACCTTGCTTGTGGGCAGCAATATAGCCCACGAGGTGGTCTTTTCCCTGCTAAAGAAAGGGTGGAAAGGATTTGTTTTTTCTCCTTTTTCTTTTGGGCGGGGGAGAGGGAGTATATAACCCCTTGAGAACCCCTTAGAGCCAAAATTTTATGGTTCTAAAGGGATTCAATCCAACTTGTTCAAAATCTTTTTTTTTTTTTTTAAGATTTCAATTTTATGAGCAAACCTCGTATGATTTTTAAGGAGCCTTTCCTAGTTGATTTTCATCTCACTTCGGAATAATTTTGAGCACACGATATTGAGTTATTAACTCATAGAAGATTTGAAGGTGATTGCACCAAGAAACTAGAAAATAAAAAAGGATTTTTTTGGGTCCATTTTGGTTCCTTTTTCGTGTATCATTGTGCTTTAGTCTTGAAGTTTTTTGGTATTTGGTGTATTTGCCAAGTACATAGTATTTTATTTTACATGCTCATTATATTAAAGATGGAGAATTTGTTAAAGTGTTACTCTTACAGTGACTGAGACAGTATATATATTAGAGACAAATACTAAAATAAAATGTCTAATATCAAATAAATCACAGATTTGTGTTGTTCTCTAACCGTTATAATGTTTCTAGCTTTATTATATTTATTTGCCCGCATAGGAATTGATGCCTCTGCTACAGGCGAATCAAGCATGACACATCAAGCCCCCTAGAGCCTCATGCTCCATCTTGAATTTGATAACCATGGTATAAAGATACCCATGAATGCCAGGAATACTAATGCCTGGAGCGTGATTGACAATAAAGGTGGAAAAGAGTGAGAGAGAGGCATACTGAAGTTGCTCACGCTATCTCATTGATGGAGCTGATAGAGCATAGAACCTGCCTGTAATCTTGAGTAATGTTAAACTCATCAGACATTAATAATGAGTGTGCATACTTTTTTGGTAAATTGATCTTAGCACAATAAACATTGCAAATCTGTAACACTATATCATTGGATAAATCACAACTCTTTTTCTTTAGGGTATGGTTTGCATAAGGCTGAGGCCCTAAACAATCAAAGTAACGCACACCTTCAAATAGTGCCGAAATAAGTTGTTTTAGTACCAGTAATCTTTATGGTGACCTGAATTAATTGTATCTCTAATTATAAAATTTAAAATATTAAAAAATAGTGTAGATCGAGAAGATCTATAAACACTTGAAACACTTGAAAATTGACGATCCAGATAATACATTACAAGATGCACTATTTCCAATAGTTAAAATCTATTTTTTCTCATGTCCATAAATATTGAGGTTGAGATGATCTAATTGAGGGTTTTTCAGCATCAAAACAACCGCTTCCTGTGAATTTTTTAAGGCACATCTTAATTTGATTGTTTAGGGCCTCTCCCTTATATAACCTTTTTCCTTTTCTTAATATTTATAATGCTTATCACTGTAATTGCAATTTCAGTTGTATCCTAGAAACCAAACTTTAGAGATTGCATTTGAAAACCACATTCATCAAAACCTCAGAACAATATTTGCGATGATATGAGCTAAAGAGCTCAAGGGAGTAAAAATGAATGAAGAGAGCACCTTCTGTATCACTCTGCATCCATACATTTGAAGGCTGAGTGCTAATACATGCCCAGAAAGCTGGTCAGCTAGTTCCTTTCTCTGACTTGTAGTACCATGCTCAAAAAACTAAGAAATAAATATAAGAGATCAATCAGTGTGATGCATGAAAAATGAGTAATTTCAGAATTGATGAAATTTTTGGTCCATACTTTCTGGATGACATAATTGCCAAAGACATCTGTCATCAAAGAGAGCGCATGGGGAATGATTTCTTGAAAGACCATATTTTTCTCTTCAATTGTGGCCGTTTCCAGTTTCTGTTGAATAAACCGGCTTCCATGCTGATCAGCACTGGAGGCAAAGAAAAAATAAATCTTCCCAATAAATAAATGTTGCCCTTAGGACAAAGAAAAAAAAAAAAGGACCCCAAATAAATACCTAAATTCAACAACATGGTCTGCAATATCTGAAAGTTCAAAACATTTCATCTTGTTACTCTTAAAGTCATCGAGCATGGATGATGCAAAACAATCTTCCATATTACCACCATTTTCTGAGTGCCATGATCCTGTGGCTCCAGCTGAGCTCCTCATGGCTGGAAAACGGTGATTCCGTTCACCTTGTCTAATAGGATTTCCAACTCCAAGAGAGGCAGAAAGAAGAGAATTTGCTACTGGGAACTCAGAATATTGCATGCCAACTCCACAGGAACCATTACCAAAGTACCCATGATTCAAGCCATCAGATTTACTTAAAAATGGCATAGCGTACTGGGATTTTTGCTGGGCAAGAAGACCCAAGTAAGCTTTTTGTAGTCCAAGTAAATCCACATAAGAATTCCCCATGTAGTTCCTCCCCGCTGAAGGATCACCTAAATTTCCAGTAACGTGACCAGCATATTCAACAGCTCTTTGCATATACTGCAAGTACAAAGGGTCCATTAGTGGCATTTGAAGACCTGCCCCCACTTGATTAACGGCCCTATTCATACTTTGCACATCATTGGTCTCACTCAGAGTTGCTCCTGGACAGACAGCAACTGTCAGTATTCATGTGCTCAACCCAATGTTTTGGAACAGATGTCAAACAGAAGGGGTCAGTCCAATAAATCCGGCTCAACTGATTAGACATAAAATTTAAATGGGGGATGGTTAGTTGGCCAACAATGTTCCTAGACATACACCCATGTCCATGCAAAGGTAGCCAATTCATACAACATAAATGGGTAGAATGGCCACCCAAGTTTTCTGGTAGTCTAATTGAAAACATTAGGTGAATTACTAAAAACAGCAGTGGAAAAAACAGCCCCCCTTTGTAAAGGAAGATATTGCGTGAACCAGCCAGATCAAACCAGATACAACTCAGTGCAGTGACTGGTTCAGACCACTTCCAACAGTTCCTTGGAACATTTTTTTTCTTCAAACCAGATCAGTTTTAGGACTGAATCCCAATAGCTGGTGTTAAATAAACATTAAACTCATGAAGTTACCTCACCTGTGCAAAAATGGCTGTTTGTTGAAGATAGTGACATTTGATTCATGGAATATCCATTCAAGTTAAAGTTTTGAAGGCCTGCATTTTGAGAATTTGAATTCTGATACAGAGTACTGGATCCATCAAAATTAGAAGCGCTGCTTGATGAGGGAGCTTTAGGATACAAACTCACTGATGAAGTCCCTTTTGCCCAATCAGCAAGCCCATCAGAACCCATCTTAGAAATACTATGGTCATTTATGTTTCCATTGCTATCAATTAACTTAGCATATGCTGGGGATTGAGATATGGAAGGGGGATGTAGAGGTCCGTTTTCAGAATTGTTCACAAGTTGGTGTTGCTGACTCTGGTGACCATTTTGCACACGAAATAGGAATTTCTCATGATCGATCATCCCCTGCTGAGGATGTAAACGACTTTTCTCATCCAACAGTCTATTTTTGGACAAATTTAGACCTGATAAACTTGTGGCAATATCAACAATATCTGTCACACTAGACGAAATGCCACTTATGGCATTAGATCCAACAATAGCCTTCTTTTCAATTGCACTATGCCTCCCTCCAGCAGGGGGCAGACAGGGGCTGGGGGACCTCGCCACCACTTGTGGATCAGGCGTGGTGCTTGGTGACAGAGAATTACACAAAGCAGATGCAAAAGAATTGCCAGATGAACCAACGCTCTTGACCCTAGACAGGGCTGGCTGTAAATTATCCAAGTTATCTGCCCCATTATGCATCTGCAGGATTCGGTGTCCAGTTGCATGTGCAAGATCAACTTCATCATCAAGAGCACCATGACTTACTGGACGATAAAGGCGACCAGATTTAGGCAGAGAACCCCTGATGTCCTGCTATATAATACATGGATTAGAACAAAAGAAGAAAGAAAGAAAAAAACAGAGCATATTGGTATGGGTGAAAGAAAGCAATAGACTTTTACTTCCAGGAATGCAGGGAATAGGAAACTAGCAAAAAGTTGATTGATTTGGTTTCCTATGGTTCCTTTGCACTTGATTTACCAATGTTCCTTACAATCTCAAATTCAAAAGAAAGAAAATATATATCACCAATTAAAAGCAAGTACATTTTTTTTCTTCTGGAAAACAAGTTTACCATAAATTATCAAGTGTATCACAGATTATCATAAGCAACTGATTAAAAGCAAGTATAACAGGAATTAGAAAAACAGAGTCCAGCTTTTTCATTGTTTGATCAATGGTTGCTAGAAATCTAGATTCATGAACCACATTAGAGGAAACAGTTACAATGGACACATACATTTGCATTTACATACTGTATTGTGTATCCCTCCATGTACACACACATTGGATGTGTATGAAAATCCAAACCAAACCATGCATACATGCATGTAGGCATTAACGGCACCCACAAACACAAACACATGTAAATATGATTTATATGATATGTATGTCTGTCTAAGTACATACATTAACACATGCAACATGAATACAGGTACATCAGCATATTGTGCTCACATGAACATGTTGCATGAGGTTACCAATGCAATACTCGAGGCACATTCTTCTCTCCATTAATTCCAATTCAACCCAATGAAACAATCATTAAATCCAGATCCAACACGGTAAACAAAGACATCCATTTAACAATCAACAGACCAATCTACACACATATCTAATATCCTAAATTTGTCCTACCAAGAAAACATATATTTAAGCCCAAAAGTATAATCAGTGTTTTAAAACCCAGACTCAGGCCAGGACTCGCTAGGGTCTTAAACCAGAATCAACCAGGTCGACTTGGCAGAGCCTGTCTCTTGCAAAAAAGCATTTTTCAGGGCCACAAAGCCTTAGCCTTGAGCAAGTCTCATCGTATTACATGGGACTCACCAGGGGTCTAAAGCTTGCTGACTAGGTCAAGCCCAGAGTCAACTTGCTGAGCTTTAAAACACTGCTCTAAAATTATGCAAGTAAAACAGCATACTGACGGAAACCATTAAATCACCTGAAAATTAGCATCACTCTTGGTCCTTGCTCCCAAACCAATGGCCGGCAAGCCAAAGAGCCCATACTCCCTGGACCACTCCACAGAGGACTGTCGTGTGAGACTCCTTTGTCGCAATTCGCTGGCCTCCATAGGATCACATTCTTCATTCTCTTGCACTAGACCAGGCTGCGAAGAGAACAAAGACTTGCTGCTTATTTCATCAACTGATAGCCTCCTGAAGCTTCCAACTGAAGAAGTCCCGGCCTGAAGCCTCTGAGCAGCACGCCAGTCCTCCTTTGAAATGCCAGGGTGGGGAAATCTAGGGTTAAGATTAGCTTGTGTGGTATAATAGTACGATGGGTAAGTTGGGTCATTTCGTAGTTCTTCTTCTGATAATAACCTATTGTTAGGTTTGTTAAGTGGAGAGAGGTTTGAGCCAAGGTTTCGATCGAATAGGCTACCAATTGCGGTCAAAGAGCCTTCAACAGTTGGGGGAGCACTACCACTTCTACAAGGATGAAACTCCCCGTCAGGACCACTAGGTTCCCAAATGTATTGCTCTTTTAGCATCATGCTGATCTCTTTCTCCAATTGCTCACTGCAACCCCCTCCCTGTGATACAGATCGTCTACTGATATCTGACATCATGTGCAATGGACTCTCTGTGACCATGTTCATGACCATGACTTGGTAAAATCACGCATAATGATGGAACCTTAGGTCAAGGAAGAAATACGAATCAAAAATAAATAAGCAAATAAATAGAATGAAAGGAAATGTCACATTGTCACATGGCCAGCTGATTCATGACCAAAACTATATTTCAGCAAATAACGCATCAACAAAGACCACAGATTAAACAGTATAAGACCGTTTTTGTTGTATAAGCAAAAATAATAATTTGGAACACCCAATAAAATGAAATAGAAAATCCTAATTCCGTGAAAACTCACATCGAACAGTTAGCAAAGAGAACCCAATCAAAACTCAAACAGGAAATAAAAATAGAAAAGGTCTAGGAATATTTGATAAATGCATCAAGGAAGTGTCAGAAATGACCTACTAACTCCCAAATAAAACTTGTAAAGAGGAAATTTCACCATAATGCTAAATAAATAAATAATTAAAATACTACATAATGCTCAATTCACGAAAAAAATTGCAACTTTAACACCAAAAAAATAAAAAGGGCCACTATCGAATTCAAATAAAAAGTGACCCTAAATTACATTAAATGAAAAAATGAATTTCAAACACCCAAACAAACATCCAAAGGTAAATAACATTTCAAAAAATAACACATCGAAAGGTAAATTAATAACAGAAAAAAATAATATAGTCGCCTTACATGTACAGAACGCTCCCTTTTTTGGAAAAAATCTACAGACGGCTCCCTTAGCTATCAATCTGAATAAACGATGAAACACAATTCTGCAAAAAAAAAAATAAACATACAAAATGATAAGTAAATCAAAGCATTAAATCATACAAAAACAACCAATCTATTGAAAATTTGAACAATACATACCAAGTTCCATCTGATCCATTAAAAAGTATGGGAAAATTAAGAGAAAAATAGAGAAAGAAAACATTGATTCGTTTTAATGGAGCAGTTCTAACCGTTAGTTTGTAAGGAGAGTGAGAAAATCCATGAAATTTGGGAGATAGAACTCTCTGGTAATTGTCCAAGGGCACGATAGTTAGGGTTTTAATTTTTGTAAGAAGAAGACAAGTAGCATTTATATGTATTTAGTTATGTATTTATATTTACTGGAAATGAGTAACTAAAATGTGCCCTTTGTCTGGAAATCATATATACGCGGTCAACATTTCTGAGAGAAAATATTGGTGAATTCTCGAAAAAGACGTGCACGCTCTAATTCCTTTTCATATTCGTTTTTTTTTAATTATAGATACCCCTTGTATTACTTTCTACGCATGCCCTCAACCCCATCCCTTACTCCTTAAAACCGTAGTAATTACCCCAAAATTGTTAAAAAATTTCATCTGCCAGTAGAAAGGTTTTTTTTTTTTGGAGTAAAATACTCCTTTTTTTTTGACCAATTTTCTCTATCTTGTGAAGTCCCCATGGGTAATTTCTCTAAACCAGTCCGACACATTTTGTGCCGGGTCGGCTTTTGGTCTCAACTCGATTTCTAGAACCCAATAACATAGTCAGGCAATTTTGCTGGGAGACCGACTTCTGGAATTCAATATTACGGTTTGGCACATATAGTGACAAACTAGCTTCATGGTGTCCTTTTACTCGAGAGTTATGGAACTGGTGCAAGAGATTGCTGAACTTAAATGTTTTGATTCCATATTACATGGAGCTGATCCTTCTACAATGGATGTATCCTAGGTTGTCGAAGTTCAGAATTGTCCTATGGAGATTTTTATGGGTTAGCACTTTATGGAACATTTGGAGAGAGAAAAATAGGAGAACATTGGAAGGGGCACAAGTCTAAGACATATTCTTAAATCGAATATTTAGCATTGGCAGTTGAATGGTTTTCAATTCATAAGGAGTGTAGTTTTGTTCCAAAATCACATATTTTCAAGAACCCAGCTAAAGTTGTTAAGCTAAATGGTTGTAGACAAGGAAAAAAGATAAATTGGTCTCCTCCTCCTGAAAACTATATGAAACTGAATTTTGATGAGAGCTCCTTCCTATAGAAACCCTAGCCCTACAAGCTTTGGAGGAATCATCAGATATCATATGGGCAATTATAAACACACCTATTCGGGCCATATGGAAACACAACAGTGAATGAAACTAAGGCAATAGCTCTTTTAGAGGGTTTAAAACTAATAAAAAAATTTGAGGGTCATAAGATGATTGAAAGTGATTCAAGTAATGTCATTGCTTGGGCAAAAGGAGATCGAAGCCACCATGGAGATTATGCAGCATCTTTGATGAAATTCATTTTATCTTAAAGAATGGTTCCTTTGAATTATTTCATTATTTTAGGGAGGCTAATGTCAAAGCTGAAGTATTAGCAAATGGTGGCGTACACCAACCATTATTAGTGGTTATACCCTTTCTTCTTTAACCCTTCCTTGTAATCTTCTTTTATTGAATGAAATTCATAGTAACCGTTTTCAAAAAAATTGCTGGCTTCATGGAGTCCAGCAATAAGTGCCAACCTAGCACTAAATGTTCCAAGAAGTCGGAGTGTTGGACCCACACAATGCCCCAGAACCTGGTTTGGCGCAAATCATCCTATACCGAATGTTCGTACTCGAGAAGTTGCTCTATGTCGAGCCAGCTTCATGGAATCCAAAAGTTGGTCTTGCACAATTGTGCCAGACCGGATTCAAAAAAAAGAGAGTAGCTTTTGGAATCCAGTAAGCCAGTTTGACATAGTTCCAGTCTGCCACAGTCTATGTCGGACCGTCTTCGTAGATTCCAGAAGCTCCGTAAGCATGTCCAGCATTAAGTTTGTCGGACTGGCTTTTTGGATTTCAGAAGATCCAAAAGCCAACTTCTCCCTCTCATAAGCAAGTCCATGAGCTCAAAACTTGGGACGCAGATCACGTTGCTGGCTAGTTTAAGCCCTTGAAACCTCTTTCAGACCCCGATCTCTCTAGGTACTTTTGATTTGCCCCTGTTTTTCTTAGGATTTTATTTTCCAGTGGAAAAAAAGAAGAAGAAAATAATTTACTCTGTTATTTTTTTTCTTTTGTCTTAAGCTTTTCCCGTGCATCAAATATTTCCATTTCATGCTTTCATTATTATTTATTATCCTCATATTTGTGAAAAAAAAAAGGAAAAACAAATCATCAATATATTCCCCCTTGAATTATATTCTTTCATATTCAGTTTGCTTCATCTTTCTCGAATAGGTCATTTAATTTCATGTCATACCTTATTTGCCTTTTCTTTCCTATATTAAATTCCTTTTAGTTCCTTATCGTATTTTGTTTGCTTAATATTTATTGTATTCGATTCCTTTATTTCTTTATCATCTGTTTGCTTCATCTTGCTTGTTGCTGCACTTCTTCGCACACATGTGTTCTATTCCACACGTACAATCACCTTCAACCCTAGTTTTCAAAAGTTTTTCTAAAACCCCCGATACCAGTAATCAAATCGTGAGGGAACCTAGCTTTTATGAGCAGGGTGGGTACTTACTAGGGGATTGCACAAAATTTCATGTGAGCGACTTTCCATAGTTTCCTAGCCTCAAAAGCCACTCATTCATAATATGACCCTCACCTCATCTTTCATTGGTACCTTGGGACTTATGTGGTGCCTGTCAGGCCTACAGATATGGAAAACAAAAAATTATGATAGGGTTTATGATGCTTGAATAATGTGTTTTGATAAAGTTTTCAAATAATTTAATGTATTGACTTGGTATTTTTGAAATACATCCGTAGTTACACGGTAAGGTTGCATCCTTATATAAACTTTTTATTTTTTGACAATTCAGTGAGAGGAATTGAACTTGAAAACCAGCTGCTAACCAGTCAATCCCCAACCCAATTCCCTATCATGAAATACTCCTCATGTGCCAGAAAACTCTCATTCCTTGACTAAGGTTATTATCCCTTTACCGAAATTTCGAGCAAGTGACTAAATTATGATATGGAAAAAGTTTGTATAAGGTTGCAACCTTATACTGTTGAGGAAAGGTGCATCTCAAAAATCCTACAGTGGAGAGTGTTTCCACGTAAGAGAACCCTCCAACTGATCATCTTGACCTTGAGATGAATATACATAAAGAAAACAAAGAATTGCAAGTTAAAAGCTAGTACATCTTGTAAAAAGTCATATGGACTGTCTGTTTTCAAGATTTTCAAGTGTTTATTGATCTGCTCGATTTGTACTATTTTTTAAATTTTAAATTTTTTAACTGAAGATAATAAGAGATTTCTAAGCAATCATAAGATTTTTTATGCCAAAACGACATCTCCAAGTAAATTTTATAGGTGCACCTAACTTCTACAATATAAAGAGGCAACCTTATACAAACCTCACCACATCTTAGCTTCCATTTTTTGCTTTCCATCTCTCTTCCCTTTCCATTGCTCCTCTCTTTCCTTCGTCTTGCTTCATTCTCTCTCTCGTTATTGCATGGTTGCCACAAGTGATTGCAGTAAGCAAAGATCACCCCAATAACGATCGCATGTAGTAGCTTTTTAAGAAGGAAAAAGTTTATATAAAGATGCAATTATAATGTAGAACTACGGATGCACCTCAAAAATCCATCGAAAAAGGTAGTTTTAATATTAAAAAACCCTTTAATTGATCATCTCGACATCGAGATGTATGACCATGAAAAATAAAAAGATTTTAAGTCTCAAAAATAGTGTATTTTACAACATATTATCTACACCGTCCATTTTCAAGATTTTCATATGTTTATAGATCTAGTTGATTTTAACCATTTTTTAAATTTTCAATTCTATAATTAGATATAAAAATAGATTTTGAGATAATCCTAAGAACATTTTACCTAAAAATTATATACCACGATAAAATTTGAAGGTACACCTTACCTCTACAACTACGAATCCGTATGCCACTGCACCGAAAAAAAACATTTTTTTGTATTGGAACTGGAGGAGCTTTCTCTAATGGCAGTTGATGAATTGAGGTGAAACCCCGTTTGTCTCTCTCTTTATATGTATGAAAAAGATTTCCTACAACCCAATCATAGGAAAAAATGGACGCTTATGTACTTCCATCGTCCATTTAGTTGGGCGGAGATGGTTAAAGAAAAATGAAAGGTTTCTATATTTCCCCTACAACATAGAAGATTTATGCTTCTTTTGCCATCTAGCCGTCCAATTTTGATCGAGAGAGCCATTCATCGTTTGATCTTAGATCCGACGTCTCAAAATATTTTATTTTTAGTTTCTCTTATAACAATTGTATGAATATGAAATTTTGTACGTGCCATCTACGAATCTATAAAAAATATTAAAAATAATTTTCAATAAAATATAATGACCAAAATCTCCTTGAAACTTTTAGGGGGATTTTGGTCATTTTATTTTATTAGAAATATTTTATTTTATATTTTTTGTTAGTGTGAGTTTAAAATAGTGTAAGACGTGATATTGTGATTGGGGCAATTTCAACTCTCCATTCAGAATGGACGGTTGGATAAGAGGAAGTATATAAATTTTAGGGAAACTATCTCCATACCTCCCATTTTTAAGTTTTATATCTCATTAGACTAAAGGTTTCAAAACATATCTTGGGTCATATAAATTCTAAGTCTTGTATTTTCTACCTTTTAAACTAACTTTATCCTCTTTAAAACTAATTGTTTTGCTCTAAACAAATATAATAAAGATATATCCTCTCCAAACATTTCTCTTTCTACATCTCTTTCTCCACCATTTTTCCCAAACCCTCTCTTTCCCTATTTTCCCACTCTTTCTCTCTCTTTATGGTTTATTTTTCTTCATATATTTGCTTGATTTATGTGGATTTTTTCTATTGATTGGTTGGATATTCTTCGTATGGATGATTAATTGTACGTAGATTGTACTTGTTTTTGGAACCTAAAATGAGAGAGGGGTTTCGAGAAACACAAGGTAGAGGAAGAGCCAGTGACCTAGAGAGAAAAAGTGGAGGAAAATATATAAAGAGGGAAAGGATTTGGGAAAATTTCAAAGAAGAGAGAGAAAGTGAGAAATTTGTGGGAATATATCACCACATAAAAAGATAAAAGGGTTTAGAATAAATGTTTTTTTTATATTTTAATTAAAAATTAGTCTGGATTAAGAGCCATAAGGAGATAAAATGGTTTAGAATGACCATGTTTTTTTTGTATTTTTATTAAAAATTAGTATGGGGTTTAGGGAAATATTTTAAATATTTAAGTGATTCAGACATAAATAAAAAAAAAAAAAAAAGGAAAGAAAAAGGAAAAAAAAAGAAAAAAAAAAGAAAAAAAGATGTCTCCCGTAAATTTTATGTTGTAGGGGACGCATAAAAAGCCCCGAAGAGAAAGCTTAAGTTTGTCAGGCCGTTGAAACTTTTAAGGCAAGATTTTGAAACGAAAAGTTA